CCCTCATACATATCAACTTTAATATAATTTCTCGTTAATATCACTATCAACGTGATTTAAACCTAATTCAAATAGGTTGATATTAATGAGGGTAACCTATATAACAAATTGTTTTTGATATAAATAAATTTTTTTTTATATATAAGCACATTAAATTACTACAGAATTGTACAGAAATTCACAGAATTCATAAAAAAAAATTTTATCACAGCAAATCACAGAACTTGCCTTAACCACATGCAGAATTTGGGTTTAATCACTGCAGAAAATCATTGGCTCTGACCCAGGCAACGCCTGGGCCTGAGATCTCTAAGAAGTAAATTTGTAATAAACATTAGTGATTAATAATATATTACACAATCATATTGAGATGGCGAATAACAATTAATAAAGTATTTTATTTATTATTTTTTTATAGCATTTAGCATTTATTCTTTATTTTATTTTACATTTAAGGTAAAATTCATGAATAATATGTGTTTTTTTAAATTTAAAAAATATATTAACAACTATCTAACTAAGCTTTATAAAAAATTTTTATTTTAATTCTATAACTATATAGAATTAAATAAAAAAAGCTTTATAAAGTTTGGTTTGATAGTTTTTGAGATATTTTAATTTTAAAAATAAATTTTATTTATTAAAAAAATTTGCCTGTTTTTTATTGACTTCTTTCCAACATTTACATTAGTCTTCTACAAATATTACAGTTCTAAAACATTAAAATAATAAAATACAACACTATATATAATAAAACACAAACCATAGCACTTTGTGTTTCTATGATACACTATATTCTTCTAGAAAATTTTAGGACGGATACAGGATGTAGGTGAGAATTTCTGAGTCATATGATTAATTGATCTCTGAACTAGATCAGGGTCACATGATATATGGCACTTTTCTATTATACGGATCAAACAGATCGGCAGATAAGTTTTTATTATAATTTTTTTTTAGATTAGATCTGCTTTTTTTTCTTTATATTTACTGCTGCTTCTCTTTCTTCCAGGTGTGATTTCGCCATTGGAGCTGTCGTTACTAGAGGTTTCATGTAAGTTTTTCATTTTGGTGTCATTTTTTTTTTCCTTATATATTTACTACTGCTTCTCTTTCTTTCAGATTTGATTTCGCCATTGAAGCCGTTTATTGGAGTTGCCGTTTTCTTCGTCTTGGGTGCAGTTATATATTTGTTTCTTTTCTTTCAGGTGTGATTTCACAGATTTTAGGTAAGTTTTTTGTTTTGGTGCCATTTTTTTTTTTCTTATATATTTATTTCTGTTTTTTTTTCTTCCAGGTGTGATTTCGTCATTGAAGCTGTCATTACTGGAGGTTTCAGGTAAGTTTTTCATTTTGGTGTCAGTTTTTTTTATTCTACATATATATTTACTACTGCTTCTCTTTCTTTCAGGTTTGATTTCACTGTTGGAGCCGTTTATTGGAGTTGCTATTTTCTTCATCTTGGGGCGGTTATATATTTGCTTCTCTTCTTTCGGGTGTGATTTTGCAGGTTTCAGCTAAGTTTTTTGTTTTGTTGTCAGTTTTTTTTTTTTCTTATATATTTATTACAGTTTTTCTTTCTTCCGAGTGTGATTTCGCCATTGGAGCCATTGTTACTGGAGGTTTTGGGTAAGTTTTTCGTTTTGGTGTTGTTTTTTTTTTCTTATAGATTTACTACTGCTTTTCTTTCTTCCGGGTTTGATTTCACCATTGGAGCTGTTTATTGGAGTCACCGTTTTCTTTGTTTTGGGGCAGTTATATATTTGCTTTTCTTCTTTCAGATGTAATTTCGCAGGTTTCAGGTAAGTTTTTCATTTTGGTGTTGTTTTTTTTTTCTTATATATTTTCTTTCTTCCAGGTGTGATTTCGCCGGTTTCGGGTAAGTTTTTTATTTTGATGTTATTTTTTTTCTTATATATTTTCTTTCTTTCAGGTGTGATTTCGCCATTGGAGCTGTCATTACTAGGTTTCAGGTAAGTTTTTCGTTTTGGTGTTATTTTTTTTTTTTTCTTATATATTTACTACTGCTTTCTCTTTTTTCTGGGTTTGATTTCGCCGTTGGAGTCATTTATTGGAGTCGCCGTTTTCTTCATCTTAAGAGGTGGTTTTTTTTTTTTTATATTTGCTTCTCTTCTTTCGGATATGATTTCGCAGGTTTCAGGTAAGTTTTTCATTTTGGTGTCAAAATTTTTTTTTTTCTTAGATATATATTTATTACTGTTTTTTTTCTTTTGGGTTGAATTTGCCGTTGGAGCTGTCGCTAATGGAGGTTTCAGGTAAGTTTTTCATCTTGTCAAATTTTTTTTTTTTCTATATTTACTACTGCTTCTCTTTCTTCTGGGTTTGATTTTGCCATTGGAGCCATTTATTGGAGTTGCTATTTTCTTCGTCTTGTAGGCAGGGAGTTTTTTTTCTTATATATTTACTGCTGTTTCTCTTTCTTTCAGGTGTGATTTCGCCATTAGAGCCATTGTTACTGAAGGTTTTAGGTAAGTTTTCATCTTAGTGTCATTTTTTTTTTTCTTATAATATTTACTACTGCTTCTCTTTGTTCGGGTTTGATTTCGCTGTTGAAGCCGTTGTTACTGGAGTTATTGGAGTCATCGTTTTGGTGTGGCATCGTCATGGAGTTGTCATGCTGTTGACGTTTCATTGTAATTGCACTGTTCTTTTTGTTGGGAATTTTTTGCAGCAGTGCGATGTTTCGTTATATGTACTTTTTTTTTTTTTTTTTTTTTTTATAAACAAAAATTTGATAAATTCGGCTTCGTTACTTTTTTTAATAAATAAATTTGGTGATACGATTTCGTCATTATTACATTTTTTATTAAGAAAAATATGGTTGCACGTGATCGATTCTTATTGGCCGATCCAAGTGCCCACGTGATCACGTGATCCCGACCTAGCCCAGAGGTCGGTGAATCACGTGATCCGGAAAATTTCACCTACATCCTGTATCATTTAAATTTTAGCAAATCTTTTCTTTAGAATTATATCAAAAGAAGTTTAGAATAAACTAAAACTGATTAAATAATTAATATTAATATTTAATTGGTCTTTATTGATTTCAATTTACCTTCAGTTTTTCAATCTTTCTTTTGTTAGCAATATAAAATTAGTCTCAACTTGGTAAGTTATTTGTTCCCCGTCTATTTGTTCATGTATGTTTTGATTTAATAAAGTATCTTACATACATTTAACCTATAAACTTTCTATTATACTTGTATATTAATGCATACCATTAGCTCTTATACTGTAGACCTGGGACTTATTCAAAACCATTTAAATTGACTAATTAGTACCAGATATACAGTACTACACAGAAGAATTTATTTCGTACAATAAAAATTTTAAACCGCATGCACATTGCATTTATAATATGTTTCTATGATTCGCATCCGGATCTTAATATTATTTTATGAGACGGCTTCATAATTAAATCAAATGAATGTTTAGGATTAGAAATAACTTAAAGGCGAAGAGAAAAATTGTATATAACTAAAAAATTTAATACAAGTGAATTTTAATCCGTTACTGTATCTGTGGCGATAATCCAAATTATTAAGTACTGGAATGATGCTCTTAAAGAAGGATAACATATCTAATATATCATAAACATTTTACATATGGGTGCGTGAGAGTGAAAACCTATTTCCAGGTTTCACTCTCACACACTCATATGTGAATTCCTATTTATTACCAAGCTTATTTCGGTATTAGAGTATACTGTCCTCACGAAAGTAATAGTAACCTATTCAATAATCAAATGCGGAGTTTATGTTTTAGTAAATTAAGTCATTTAAATTAATGCTAGCAACAAATTTATCAGTATAATTATAGCTGTTTTCAAGAAGGTGTGAACAGACGCAAATAACTATATCACGGGAAATTCACGAAATTACCCAGATTTCCAAAACTTTCAAAGCCGGATCTTCAATTTTTACTAATGATAATTTCCCAATTCTTCGATTCCCCACATAGGTATGTGGAAATCGCTGTTCACACCTTTTTGAAAACAGATGTAATTACAGCTGTTTACAAAAAGATGTGGAAAACGATTTCCATATATCCATATAGGGAATCAGAGAATTTGAAAATTCCAATTAGTAAAAATTACAGCTGTTTTCAAAAAGATGTAGAAACCGATTTCCATATACCCATATGGGAAATCAGAGAATTTGAAAATTCCAATTAGTAAAATTAAAGAACCGATTGGAGCGGGTCTTGAAAACTTTGGAAATCTTGCGAATTTCCCGTAATATGATGATCTGCACGTTCCACATCTTTTTGAAAACAGCTATAAGGAACCGATTGGAGCGGGTCTTGAAAACTTTGGAAATCTTGGAAATCTTGGCGAATTTCCCGTAATATGATGATCTGCCCATTCCACATCTTTTTGAAAACAGCAATAATTGGCTCGGTGTCCTAACAAATGGGTGATTTTCTCAATGAAAACCAGTATCTCAATGGCCAGTATCCATAGGTTTTTTTCTTAATGGACAGTAAAAATGACAAATCAACTTATAAATCATGTAATAACGGTTCTTTAGAGAACTAAAAATTAATGGGGAATATTTGATTTTTGCCGAATAATTTTCAGTAAGGTAAATTAAACTCTCTGGTTTATATGTTCAAGGTTTGCCGAAAAATTTTGCAATACAGTATACATTAACATGACTATACTTAATTGTCAAGATTGGAAATTTATATTTAATTTTTTAAAGAATTATCAAATTGAATTTTTATGGTAATGTATAATATTATTATGTTGATAAAAAAAATTTAATAAATGAATAATAAAGTCAAATAACAAATCTATAACTTTCGTATTAGTTAAAATGTATTATTTTTGAAACATATCTTCTTGATGGTAATTTTTCATCATCATGATGGTCCTCATCTTCATCACCACGTTTATGCTTATCATTGCCTTTAAGTAAATATTTAGCGACTTTTCTTTATACTTGTCTTCACCTTCACATGTTTGGAATTTAATACAATCATTGAGTTCCAAGATATTTCCAGGCCCGAATCAGAAAATCAACTTTTGAAGGCTCCCTGACTGCCACTCTAACATAAGTTGGTCTATTATACCCAGGTTTTCCACTCCTAACTGGTACACCGGCTGCTTTAGCTTTATCCACTGCATCCTCTGCAATCTTAGCAGTTTTCATATTAATCCAAACCCATGATAAAAAGTCATTTCCATAAAATTCCCATGCAAACATTGGATCTTGATGAAACATCACAATAGCATTTGAAATAACCTTCAACCTATCGATTAACTCTGCTCGCCATTTTGAGGTAAGATTCCACGTGCGTTCCATATAACTATGATCCCTAACCACTGTATTCAAAAATGCAAGTGCCGGTGAATTTACACTCCAGGGAACCTGAATTCTTTTCAATGCATCAAAGTGCTTTGAAGTAGGACACACTACTGAACCAAGACGTAATCCTGTGCAAGACCAGAATTTAGTCCATGAATGAATTATATAAACTGATATGCTCTTGGTTTTGTAAAGTGAGAATATAAAATCATGTTGAGAAATTAGGGAATCTGATCGAAAATCTGATGATAGCCAGGGTTGCATCGATTCATCTTTTGAATATTCAATTGTTATGTTAATTCAAAATGTTACGTTAATGGAAATGGAAATGAATATGAAAATAATGAAAAATACGCATACCGACTATAACCACACCTCCTTCTTCTACATTATCAAGAATCCATTTCTTCATTTCTGCAACATTTTTATAATCACCGGTAGGATTGCATGGATTAACAATACATGAAAGTGTTGCACGAGTGGTATCCTGAGGACTTAGAATAATTTGACCATTGTTTTCTGCTGATCGTTGATATTCTTTATACTTAAATCATAATAAATGCCAAATGTTAGTAATTAGAATAACAACTTTGTTCAAAAAAGAAAAAAAAAGAAAGGGAATGGACAATACTTGAACATCCCACGGTCCTGGTTTCCATGTACCATTAGGAGCAGATCTTATAACCAAATCGATTAATTCGCTTGCACCATTTCCAAGAAGTAATTTATCAGAATGTTTTGTATAGTCATCGGGCCAAAGGAATTGTGCAAGTGACGTTTTCGCTGGCTCTTGATCCGCTGATGGGTAATGATGGCAAGTAAAACACTGACAAAAGCAAATCAATTATGTATTGCGCATACAATCTATCAAAATGATTTATATAATTTAGAAATAAAAATCAACTTACAGCTTCTATAGATGCCTCTAATGCAGATTTGGGTGTTCCTAAAGCATTAGTTGTTACCGAAAAATCTTCTATAAAATTATCCAAATATTTCCAGTCCTGACCACCATGAAACTGTTGTAATTTGGTATCCCAAACAGTATTTACAGTATTATATTTTTCCTTTGTCATTTTGATGATAAATATTTATAATTCAACAGCTGTTTTATACTCTACCTCCCGGAAAGTAGGAATACCTGGTATAAATTATGCATTAAATTTTATAATAAATCACTAATTGACTCTTTGATGGCATCCCAGAATCATATGAAATCAGTGGCAATATGTGGCAGAAATGACCAATGTTTCATATATATTTCCTAAAAAAAAAAAAAAAAAGATCGAAATAACAGATGTTAGATCGCATCGACATATTCCATGGGCGAATTCTTCCCCAAAATTTTGGAATACAAAGTTTGGGGAGGTTATGGCATATTTATACTGTAAGTATAGCATCAAGAAAAAAACAAGATTTTCTTATGATCATTGACTAATTTATCGAAAAAGTCATATGCATGCATGTTATTGATAGTTAAGTCACGATTAACATTATTGTAAAGTAATATACGTGCAGTTGCCCCAGAATTTGTGTGCCCAATTTATCTATCGCTATTAGTACATGGTGAAATTAGTGTTAACGTTAGGCGTTATGGGGCGATAAAACGGTAAATACCGAATTTTTTTTTTTTTTTTTTTTACGGGAATAGGGAATTATTATTTTTTTTATCTTGCAATTTTTAATATTTGTACTCCCGTAAATTTTTTTTTGAAATTTTGGCAACCACTTGATGCCACTTGATGCCACTTGATCATTTTCAAAAAAAAAATTTTTTATGCAAACTCCTATGATCATAGATTTTTTTTCTTGTTATTTTTTGTATGTTATTACGTAAGCCCAACAATCCCGAATTAAAACTCAGTTAGCCAACCACGACTCGTAAATCATGATCATAATTGCACGATAACATCGATATTGGATCATGCGACGCAAAATTTGTTCTGTCGGAGCAAATGACCAATATCTTATAAGTATTTTGAAAGCTGAACGTCAATTTTTTTAAATTTTAAACTTGTTTTTTTAAATTTTACTAATTTATTTTTTCTCAACATATTAACTAATAAGAAAACGTTACACAGTCGGATCAAAAATTGGATTGGCTAGTAAAAATAGCTAACCAATAGTCAGACCATGTAACGTTTTCTTATAGAATGAATTATTTTTATTTTTTAATAATAAAAAGAAAAATATATATGTAGTCTCTGGCTTTATATAGCTGTAATATAATAAAGTAAATTTTTTTTTTATAGTTAGTATAGTTTTTTTGTATTAGAATTAGAGCAGGCTATGTGTAACCGTGTCTATATATATTTATTCTTTAAAATTGTATTACTGTATTTTACAATGTATAAAGATATATTAATACTGTATATATATTTCTAAATCAAGAAAACAAGATCACAAAAGTCTAGAGTTATGAAGAAAGATTATATATAAAAGATGGCAAGCAGAGAGGCAAATTGAAGAGAAAAAGATAGAAGAATATATTGAAAAAAGATACAGGATAATAGTAAAAGATCAGAGAAGAATAATTGATAGCATATTGGACAATTTCACAGAAGTATAAAAATAAAGGAGTAGTGAAGCACAAAGATGAAAGTAGTGAAGCTAAAAAAGAGCTGATAAACAAGCCAAAGAAGGTATTAGAAGAAGTAAGAAAGTATTTTTAGAAACAATTTTAAAAGAAAAGTATTACAGTGAACAGATTATTAAAAAAATAGAGGGCAAGATATAGACTAATTAAACAAATAAAAGAGTATTGGTACAAGGATATCAAAAAGAAGATATCTACAGAAGAATAGGCAGAAGCTTTAGAACAATTAAAAACATATTTGCATTAAGCCTAACAGATATAACATATCTACTTATCATGTATACAAATATTTATACAGAAGAAATATTCAAAATATTAGCAAATAAATGTCTTAAAATAGGATTTATACCAAAAAAATAGAAACTAGAAATGCTATATCCAATTCCAAAAAAAGAGAAGTAGAATTACAACCTTAACAGCATCTAATTGATTTTGTTTTTAAAAACATTCAGAAAATTAGTAGTCAGAGTACTTAATAACAGACTTAGAAAAATTCTTAAAAACAAAGAAATCTTAAAAGAAAAAAACTATACTAGTCTACCAGAAGAAGGAATAGCAGAGCCTATATATATACTGAACAGTATAATAGAAGATGAAGTAAAAAACAAAAAGAGCTGTAGCTACTGTTTTAAGATATAAAAAAAGCTTTTAATTTAGTAAACATTAAAATATATAGTTCAAAAACTAGTAAACCAGTAAATTTACTGATTGTAGATAAATTTTTAAATTTTTTTTTTTCACTTAGACAAAGTCACATTAGTGATTTCTGTTTATTAAAGTTCATCTCGTGAAAAATGTAATATAATAAAACTTTGACCCTAACATCTTGCGATTACTTTGCATAATCTAACCGATTACCTACATGTACCTACAGGTGACCTGCTGCATTGCAGAGGTATGATCAATTAAGATAATACCCTAGAAGAGAGCTCGTCTGACCACCGCTCTACAATAGGATATTGCCAATCTGATGACATCTTCTCATAGGGAAGTGAAAGAAAAAGAAAAAACTATTTTATAAAACAAACACAGAGGTATAGAGGAATATGATAAAAGATACAAACAAGAAAATAAAGGGGTAAAAAAAAAAATGAAAAAAGAAAAATATAGGATATATCCATACTGGACAGTCACAATTATAATCCTGTATTGGGCTTTGTAAAAATTACATATTATACTATCTAAACTAGTCTCTACTTTAATCTATATAATTAGTATATCTAAGCAAAAAAATCAGAGGAGGCAAAAAAATCAGCTTCTTTGACATCGTTATTGTAGAGAAGTCAGAAATCTGTACTATTAGTCTCAAAGTATTGTTTGTTTGAATTATCACTTCTGAGACACGTAACCCACATATTCATATTCCATATATATCCACGTGTTTGTTGTAATTGAAAAAAGTAAACAATGCTAACCAATTTGGTAAATAAACAATATGTCGATCTTTTGGAGAGAGTAAGCTAAATTGTCCACTTTTTTATAAAATTTTTCTTGAAAAAAAAGCAGAGAGTCAACGAAAATATGTGGGATTTTTTTGTAAGTTTTACAGTTGTATAGGCAATTCTTTAAGCTTTAACTATCTCAGTGAGAGTCTTTTGACTACTACTTGTTCTCAGAATAGTCCTTCTGGTTTGGATGCTGAATAACTTAGGGAGTCCATCTAATATAGCAAAAACTTGACCCCAAGAAAAACTATCCAAGTTATGCCCGCTCCTCAGTGTATTACGTTTCCTAGACTTTGTTGACAACAACCTACACTTAAGTAATATCAGTTCACAGAAAACCTTTCTGGTTTGAATGCTGAATAACTTAGAAAGTCCACCCCTAAGCAGAAGAAGGCTTGACCTTAAGAAAAACCACCTAAAGTATGCCTGCTCCTCAGTATTTTATATCTTCAAGCTTCGTCAACAACTGTATTACTTTAAAGTAAGACTGAGAAGTATCTTTCTTGGATGTTCCTATATCATTTTTCTGTAGTCTGGTTTGCTGTTGTTGTTGACCAGAAGATCATTAGAAAGAGTTATTTTTTGTAAATTTTTAAATCAATATACTGTTATAAACTAATTATATACTAATTTCAGATTATTAAATAATATTATTTTTTACTGATTTTGGATGATTTTTAGTTACATTCAGTATAAAATTAGTTTAAAATCAGTTAACCTTATTTGAATTAATTTATTAATTCAAAATACTAATTGTTATTGATTTGTAATATTTAATTTAATAGACAATCTATCTGTTATCTGGAGAGGATCTGCAAAGTAAATTTTATTATTGAGTTAAAATATAAAAATATTATATCTAAAAACCTTTTTTTTACTAAATAAATTACTCTTGGGCTCATAACAAAAGTTGTAGAGCTTGATGTAGTAACTTAGTGAAGTGATTAAGTTGTTGCACCCCCAAGTAGTATGTTGGCAAGTTGGAGTTTGAAACCCACTAATAATGGAAATTCAAATATTTATTTGTATGACAGCTACTGTCTTTTAACAATCAGTTAGAATAGGATCTCTGTAACTTTGGTGGCACCAACAAAATTGGGAGATCATGGGGTATTTGTACAATGCATAAATTACACAAAGATATACAAGCTGATATTAGTCAGTACAAACCTAAGATAAGACTTCGTGTTCATATAAATCTAAGGAACCAAAAAGATGGATACCTGCTTGGCAAGACCCAAGTAGAGAGATAGTATAAACCTTCAACGATGGCTACTAAAATAGGCTTCACTCAAGGTTAATATAACTGGACGAAGACTGGATATTTGGAGAGAAGATATTTTACCAACCAGGCTGCTGGAATTGCTGAAGGAAAAGGATCTGCAGTACAGATATCAAGGGACCAGTGTTTTATTCAAGCCATCTGGATTGGTGACCAGCTAGGAATATTAAAAAGAAAGGTACTAGGTGTTTTAAAGAAAAGATATCAGGGTTTGAGCAAACTCTACAAGGGCTAAATAGGTAATGATAGTGGTTTTGACTTGCAAATACTTGTTCTTAGACTTAGCATAAGTTATCGAAGTAGACTAGGTAATATAGTAATAGTGGGTATTAGACTGCTTTAGCAGATGATGCACTTGAGGATGAATCGATTAACTATGCCAGTAGTCCTATAGGTAGTATGCAACGATCTTGAAACTTAAACTAATTTATGTATCGCATGTTCTAGATGAGGTTAGATGAATTGGCATAGGAAACTCAGATCAAAGAATTTAATTAAGTAATCTAAATAATAGTAGGTTATAGGTACAGCATCTAGTATAGAACTTAATATAGGCAAACTACTTAAATTAGATGCTCAAAAGGCACAAATATAGCTAGAATGTACTCTTATTAAAATGTACTTGTTTGGGGCCTCTTGAAAAGAGTACTATATAATTTATAATCTAATAAAGCAGAAAGCCAAAGAAGCTAACCTTGACTACAAAAAAAAAGTTGTAGAGCTTATCAATACATATATAATAGTAGTGAAAAC